CATGGCAGCAACAGGATTAATCATGGATGACGGGGATACAAAGCGTACAGGAACAAGTCCCTTCGAAGAGACTAAGGCTGTGGTGGCATCACAGGTGATTTTTGCAAAGACAGTGTCCCTCTCCTGCCTCAACCAAGGAGATACACTAGAGGGAAGATGGAAGAGCCTTAATTACACAGATACCTTATAAGTAGGAACTAACTGTCCAATAATCAACATGACTGACAAAAGCTGAGCCTGACACACGGTGCCAGAGTCTACTTAAACTGCTCGGTTTACCTTTAACTCATCTTGAGTTTGTAAGATTCCCCTGAAATTGTTATTTTTCTGTGTCATCACTGAACAAAAAAAAAAAACAGATTTGAAATAGAAGACTACAATCACATTCTTACAGAGTTATAGTGGGAGCAGTGTAACATAACAAAAGGAAGTTAAAGGTAATTACTGAAGTGTCAGCCTTCTTTTGCTACTTACATGTCTAAGACTGACATGGGAACTTAAGACTTCAAAACCTTTATCTCAAGTGTTAGAACTGCTACAGTTATTTTGGAAGTAGCAAAGAACTTGGCTGCTGACTTCTACAGATGAACCAATGTTCATGGGTTTTAGAGCTTTCCCCTACTCAGCTCCCCACAATTTATCAGACGTCTGTAACAGCAGGACAAAAAGGTTCTCACAAGATGGAAGACTGTTACACATGCTTAGGGCTTATTTCCACTGCACTCCAGTTTAGTATCACTCCCTCAGCCCCAGAAAATTAATTCAAGAGATGGAAAATAAATTCAGATAAAGGATTTCATCAGGAAATTCCAGGTCTCACAAGCCTTTTTTAAAAGGGAGGAGGAAAGAAATAACACCAGTTGAATGGCATGTGCAGCCATCAACAGCTGTGTACATGGTGCACACTGTGGGCTGCGAGCTGACTGTCCTGCAGAAAGAAAAGGAAGTGCTGATGTGACTGACACTCAAAAATACTAAGATGGTAGGATACAGGGGCTGGTAGTATGAATAATAACTGAGCAAAAGGAGTTCCTTAGAGTTACATGGGTTTATTGAACAAGCCTCAGCCCAAAAGTTTCACAGCTAATTGCAAAGCTGACCTCCCAACCCCACTTCCTTGTTGCCCACTGAGTGATAATGAAGGTTCCCCATGAACCTAAATAATTCAGAGCGCTCAGACCCAGCTTCCTTCCTCAGCAAGGGCTCATTTCTGCAGTCCTCTGTTAACACTGAATATCAGTTACACAAGTAACTGATGCTTCTATCACTGACACCAGGAGAGACACTAGTACAAATCATCCTTTATTTAACTCAAAAGGGCTGAAAATACAGAGTTGGCACTGAGCTGGTATTTCTGTGAACTTTGCTTTTGTGCCTAAACAGCAAGAACCCCCAGTCAGTCTGTACAGGCTTTCACCACTCTGCATGCCAGCAAAACTATTTAAGGAAACAGAATTAAAAGTAACTGCCAGTTTAAACGTGTAAGCTGATGTAAACTTTCACAATACAACAGAAAGTAGTCTAAAGTTTCCCTTGTTTATTTTCAGTTTCCTTAAAGTTATCCCTTAAAGCTATAATTAATTTTAAGTTTGGCATCTTCAGTTCCATACTTTAGCTACTGCTAGCAGTCTGGAATTTAACCTGCAATGTGAACGTGGTTTTCTCCAGAACATGGTTACCCACAGAGCAACATACTTCACGTTCTTTTAGTTATATTCAAAATAAAGAAATAACTGTCCAACCAAAAAAAAACTAAAACCCCACTAAAATCTGACACACAACTCCTATCAATGCATTCCAGTACCACGTTTCCCTGCAGTCTACCCCTACCCTCTTGTCCTGCTCCTGCCTGCCTCAGGAGAAGCACCAGGATGTCAGAGAGAGAACTGGAGACATGCATAGCTTCGCTGCTGACCCACCAGGGCCTGGGGAGCTGTGGCTGCCACCACGGGGCAGAGCCATCACTGGGTGCAAGAACTGGGTGCCAGCAGAGGGAGGCTCACTCTGCTCCACAACAACTCTTTAACAGTAAGAGGAACTTTTCTCTGCCTCCTAGCAAACAGCTTTAGAAAACCACATTTTCAAAGGTCTCCAGGTGAAAAGTACTCACAATAAGGGTAAAATTCAGAATCCCATTGAGCTACTCACTTCTTTCAGCTTGGTTTCTGGGCATTCAGATTGCAAAGTGAGTGTTGCTCCTTCGATATTTCTTGGCATAGGAGTTGAACCAGGATTTATCGTTAGATGAATCTGATCCGGAGAAATAATATGTTGCACGTAACCCTGGGACATTCCTTCATGATCTGCTATTAAATGAAATCCTTCTTCATGACCCTCTGGTAAAAAAGGCAAGGGATCACCACACTGTCCTTCCTCATCATCATCTTCCAGCACACTGTGGTCCTGCTCTATCAGAACAGTTGTCCTGTCATAGACTGTCCCCGATGATGAAGAAACCAGCCCGTTTTTATCAGAAAACCTCATCATATTGTCATCTTGGTTCAGATCGTCTTCCTCCACTTCATAGTAGATAACCTTGCTCTCGGGGCTGTTTTCCCCCATGGCTCACCGCCTCTCAGTGCGATATCGTGAGGTCAGACCGTAAAGGCTCATCTGCAACAGAAGGACGGGCGGGGGTCAGGAGGCTACGGCTGCCCAGCCGGGCCTGGCCAGTCTA